TATTATTATTATTTAAAGCTTATGTCCTTAAAATCAACATGGTTTCGTGGCGGCTGGTTTAAACAATGTTTGCAGGCTACCTGACCCTCTAAACCCTGTTTGTGTGTGTGGGGGAGAGTGTATTGCGATTTATTATTGCGTTCTTACATGCACTCACTCACTCCCTGCTGCTGCACTCGTACTCCTCGTGTATTATCAACTAAATATTACAATGTACTGTTAGTAGTATAATTAATGTTGTTCCTTTGTCATGAGCCAAATGTTTCTGCTCTAATCATTACGCTAGAATAATTTTGCAGTCAACTAAATTTACGGGTAAATGTACTGAGCTGATACCAGTACTGGGAGAAAGAGAGAGTCTCAGATTTGAGTAGCAGTAGTAGCAGTAGAAGTAGTAGCAGTAGTAGCAGTAGTAGCAGTAGTAGCAGTAGTAGCAGTAGTAGCAGTAGTAGCAGTTGTAGCAGTAGTAGCAGTAGTAGCAGTAGCAGTAGTAGCAGTAGTAGTAGTTGTAGCAGTAGTAGCAGTAGTAGCAGTAGTAGCAGTAGTAGCAGTAGTAGCAGTAGCAGTAGTAGCAGTAGTAGTAGTAGTAGTAGTAGCAGTAGTAGCAGTAGTAGCAGTAGTAGCAGTAGTAGCAGTAGTAGCAGTTGTAGCAGTAGTAGCAGTAGTAGCAGTAGCAGTAGTAGCAGTAGTAGTAGTTGTAGCAGTAGTAGCAGTAGTAGCAGTAGTAGCAGTAGTAGCAGTAGTAGCAGTAGCAGTAGTAGCAGTAGTAGTAGTAGTAGTAGTAGCAGTTGTAGCAGTAGTAGCAGTAGTAGCAGTAGTAGCAGTTGTATCAGTAGTAGCAGTAGTAGCAGTAGTAGCAGTAGTAGCAGTTGTATCAGTAATAGCAGTAGTAGTAGCAGTAGTAGCAGTAGTAGCAGTAGTAGCGGTAGTAGCAGTAGTAGCAGTAGTAGCAGTAGTAGCAGTAGCAGTAGTAGCAGTAGTAGCAGTAGAAGTAGTAGCAGTAGTAGCAGTAGTAGCAGTAGTAGCAGTAGTAGCAGTAGTAGCAGTAGTAGCAGTTGTAGCAGTAGTAGCAGTAGTAGCAGTAGCAGTAGTAGCAGTAGTAGTAGTTGTAGCAGTAGTAGCAGTAGTAGCAGTAGTAGCAGTAGTAGCAGTAGCAGTAGTAGCAGTAGTAGTAGTAGTAGTAGTAGCAGTTGTAGCAGTAGTAGCAGTAGTAGCAGTAGTAGCAGTTGTAGCAGTAGTAGCAGTAGTAGCAGTAGTAGCAGTTGTATCAGTAATAGCAGTAGTAGTAGCAGTAGTAGCAGTAGTAGCAGTAGTAGCAGTAGTAGTAGTAGTAGTAGTAGTAGTAGTAGTAGTAGTAGTAGTAGTAGTAGTAGTAGTAGTAGTAGTAGTAGTAGTAGTAGTCGTAGTAGCAGTAGTAGCAGTAGTAGCAGTAGTAGCAGTAGTAGTAGTAGTAGTAGTAGCAGTAGCAGTAGCAGTAATACCAGTAGTACCAGTAGTACCAGTAGTACCAGTAGTAGCAGTATATCGTGAGATTGGCTTTGTAAATCTCGTCGTTATTATTTTTACCCTGCAAAATCTCTCCTACTCTTCAAGGAACTCCATGGATATAAATAAATTATTAATCAGTTACTACCAAGCGGTGTATTTGTGACCAATGAGGGAGCAAGCAATAAATACTTCGACTCAGATTGTGAAACATGGTTAAAAAGGTGCAGCAAGCTGCAAGGGTATTTAAATATCTAGTGCTAAAATACAAGTTACAATTCTAAGAAGATGGTACATGGTCAGGCTATATTTATCAATATATTTGTCAATACTTGAATAATATAAATTACATTAATAAAGTGATAAGAGATATTGCTAAGGGAAAACTGGAAACAGCATTGGTTAGTAAATTTTTGTGTACTGCCCAGAACACAGATGTTAAAGTTGCTTATTTGCTATTCAGGATTTGTCTTCTGTTTGATATAATTATTATATAATATGTGATAAAATAATCGCATATTTACAGACTCCCGTTGTAACCAAGACTATTTCGGACCGAACACCTTCAAAGTTGCCAAAAGAACTCTAAGCTGAGGTCTCAAGCAAGACCATTTTACTAAACATCCTCACAGTATCCTCGACATATCTAAAACGTAGGGCTTCCAATTGCACGGTTTTCCGAAAATATATCGCCATATTTATCGACCCCAAACTTTACGGCGTGTAGTGACAATACGTAATCCGTCACCATTATCTAGTTTAGCAATTATTTCCAATGACATGTGTCCTACATCTGAACTTTAGTACCCCTTGAGCTATTTCTAATACAGTAATATCAAGTAAACTTATTATTTACCCTAAAAAATCTCTCTACTCTTCAAGGAACCCAAATATAAATATCACACAACCAAGACGATATTGACCATGGGGCAAGCAATACATACTTCGATAATTTGAAACATTAAAAATCACACTGTATGGATTGTACATGAAAATACATTACAATCTTAGAGTACAGTCACTATTTTACAATATTTGTAATACGGGTGATACAGTATAAATATCTTCCAATATGATAAGAGTAACTTCGCTAGGGAAAACTGAACAGATTTGTTTCAGAAATTTCTTATGTACTGTCACAGAAACAATGATTAAATCCCTTATTTCTCATCGATTTGTCTTCTTGAAATTATTGAAGTTTTTGTTACAATAATCGCCATATTAATATGTTACCGCCAAATATTTCGGTCTCGCAAATTATCCGCCTTAAATATGTCTATGTAAGTAAGTTTCGACAACACAAAAAATTAGTATGTGATTTTCTATTCTTGATGACATGAAGGAGCAGATATTATAAAGGAGCAGATTGGTTCCATGGCTCTTGTTAGATTTTGCCACATCTTTGATACCTCTCACCCAACCCTTGTTGTTATTTTCACAGCATCTACTGTGTTGCCAGCTTTGGAATGTTGCCAAGGTACATTGTTCTAGGAATGCCGAACAGTCTGAGAATGCCACGTAATGGTGCCACTATTATAATCCTGTTTACCTCTAACACTACTCCACACACGTGAGAAGGTCGCTTACACCTGTACCTGATCTTCAGATCTTGGAACCACATACAGCTAAACTTGTCCTAACAACTTAATCGAGTAGATCAGTACGTGACAGGGGGGGCGGGGGGGCCAGGGGGCGCCAACAGGCAACGTTACGCCACTGGATCTAAGGATCACATACTTGTTTATTGATGTGACCTTTATTACGTAACGAACTGAATTAAGGTACAAATAATATTAATATAATATGATAGGCATGTTCGCATCATTTTTACAATTGTCAGCATATTTCCGATATTCATTCAAAACAACAAAATTACATCACAACATTTAATGGCGGAAATTGTAAGAACCGGATCAGAAGACCCCCTGAAGATCCCCCCAGAAGACCCCGGCTGATGTGTCATAGACACGGGAGACAGGGTCGGAAATTAGATGGCGGCCGGATACCTTCACTTAGACATGACATCACACCTAATATTGTGATAGCCGGTAACTATATCATACCACCTTATAATACCGCACTACACACCAAAACAATGTCATTGTCAGGACTATAAATTATATTTTATTGCCAGCGATAGGGAAACATTATTTGCGGGCCGCCCCCCCAATCACAGCCGGTTTACCCACTCCCGGAAGTGCTGACGGTTGGTGTGTCCATTAGTCGGGCAGAGAGAGAGAGAGAGAGAGGTTTTGAAAGATATATTTTTAAAAAGAATAAGTTGCACAGTTGAAACTAGGGGTATTTTGTAAGGCAGTTAAGAGTGGATTATTCCATATATGGTATAACTGAGCAGGATATAAAGTTTATAATAGTATTGTATTTTAGGCTTATGTCCTTAAAATCAACCTAATATATTTCATACCACTACGGTTACGTGGTGGCTGGTTTAAACAATGTTTGCAGGCTACCTGACCCTCTAAACCCTGTTTGTGTGTGTGGGAGAGAGTGTATTGCGATTTATTATTGCGTTCTTACATGCACTCACTCACTCCCTGCTGCTGCACTCGTACTCCTCGTGTATTATCAACTAAATATTACAATGTACTGTTAGTAGTATAATTAATGTTGTTCCTTTGTCATGAGCCAAATGTTTCTGCTCTAATCATTACGCTAGAATAATTTTGTAGTCAGCTAAATTTACGGGTAAATGTACTGAGCTGATACCAGTACTGGGAGAGAGAGAGAGAGTTGATAAATAATAGATTTTAGAGCTGTAACGTGAGATTATCTCGACATTATTACTTTAGCAGATTTTTAAGATATGAAATTCGTAATATTATTTGGTCTTGATGCATCAATTTACTGCCTGATTATACCAAATGGGGAAACGGTTATAAAGATGAGACTTTCTTTGTAGCACGGACGGAGGAAATTAATAACATCTCAATTTTCAAAATTTAAAAAATTGTAACCGGCTGACACTTTTTTACACTGCGCCGCAGCAGCACACGGTACGGTACAAACCTAATATAAACCTTCCGCATTCTTACCATTCCGGCACCAACACTCCAGCTGTTGTAATATAATGCAGTTATTTTAAATCACCCAAAAATTAAAAGTATGTAATGTGATCCTAGCTTGACTATCATTACTGTGCATTAAATTTAATATATAATGATATTTGAACCCTACGTGAACTGATGTTTACAATTTACCGCTCCCAGTACACAAATTTTGATGATAGAGACGATATACACACCCACGGTCCTATGTGAATTTTAGTTAAATACAACGGGTTTTGCGCCGAAACATTTTTATTTTATATTACCATTATGTAAAGTTAGTCACACGTTTTAAATACCAGCTCGCCGTGTAGCCAGCAACTCTGCCGAAAGTTTTATGCTGGAATGTTAGTTTTAAATGCTTCAGAAATTTCTAGATCGAAACAATTGGAAATGCGCTTTAATTCTACTTTTCGAGGCACTACTAATGATTTTAACGTTATGTTTCAGACCAAGGCAGCCCCACTAGTGATGGTGAGTTAAGTTTAATGTTAAATTTTCTGTTTGATAATTATTCTCATTGATATAATGTACTTAGTAGTTGTTAAATAACTGTTGATATAATTTAGGCAACTTTTAACTCATGTGCGTGATTTTGAAGGACCTCCGCTGTAATTTTAAGTGTTTTGAACACGAATTTTTTGGTAATTTAATATTTTAAAATCCGTTACCGACCATGGTTAAAGTCTCCGTAACAACATACATTGTCACACTCCTTATTTGATAGTCAGTAAATTGCCGCATATCCATATGTTGAATCTCAAAACTTGACTTCGTATTTGCTGATCCACAATTAGTCTAAGGCCATCTTGGAAAAATGTAAGCCGCGTTTATTTTCCTTTATAATAAGGGCATTATAATATAGTCAACATTACATTGATGTACTCTTGGGTCATAAAATATGAAGTAAAATTTTATGGCTGTTAATATTATCATGAAGGTTGTTTAATAAAAACTCGACCATCAATCCCACATACACAAGATGGATATTAATGTAAGGTACAGACCCTCTTGGAATATAAGCGGCGTTTCATTGTGCTAAGTTAACAGTACAGTTTACTCCAGATAAATGTCATAATATATATTCACATTATTTGTCTGTTACCATCACTGTATTATATTGAATCAAGACTCGAGCCACTACCTGCGGAACCAGAATCCACATACAAAAGATGGAAATTTCTATAAGGTGCTCTCTTGGAATGTAAGCCTCTTTTCCTTTATAAGTTAATATTACAGTTAAGTCACATCATAGATCCTGAAATAGTCAAATTATTTGTCTGTTAAAATGAAAGGTACCTCAATATACAGCATCTGGAAATTAAATTTGTGTGTATAATAAGTGATGGTAATTAAATGTGCGGACTGCGGAGTGCCTGCCTAAGGGTTACAAAATAAAACATAAAACTATGTCCGTGTAATTCGCCCAGTTTGCACTCTAATAATATGCTCGGGGGATCTTGTTGGCGGCTCATGTCCCCCTCCTGATTTCCTTATTATGCAGCTCAACGTACGCTGCCATTGTTCACACCGCCCAGGCAATTTTTGTCATCAAAATTCAGATCAGCCATTCTTTATGCAGATGTCAAGACAAACGCTTGCTGTGTTTTAAACGGGTGAACTAGCATGAGGCTACGAGGATTTAAAGGTAGGGTGCAAGAAGAGCCTTTCATTAGCCCTTCTCCTGCAGCTGGCGGGGTCACGTGACACCACAATGTCTCTTCTTTCAGGATAAACCCTTTATATTGACCCGAGCTGGATTGTCTTTGTTCATCTGGCCCATTGTTTCCGTGAATTGTCCAATTTAAAAATCGATTTAATAGGGGGTCAGGATGTTTAACATATAGATACAGGCAGCCACCCCTCCGCAATTAGTGAGGGATTACCGTGATTTATTCGGAGTCTCTCCGACCTTATCCTATAGCCCCCATTGTCTAACTCTGTATTTTACTGTATGGTGTATACAGGCCCAGTGGCCGTCCTGCCCACTTTTATTATGTTGTGTTTTGTGTGCGGATTATAAGTAGCAGCTAGCTGTTCTCCTCTAATCGTTTCCCCCGCTGCAGAAGCTCCTCATCCTCTCCTCAGTCTCTCCTTCTCTGCAGCGAGGTTATAATTTCTCTCGGGTCAAAGTCTGTGTGGCTGGTAGATCTTGTTTGGTTATAATTTCTCGGGTTAAAAGTCTGTGAGGCTGGTGCAGAGAGTGTTTAGTCTCAGTTGTTTCCTCGAGATGGTCTAGTTAAAAACTTACAATGCCGTACCTTTCTTGTCAGGCGTCAATGATTTAAACCTTTCCTTTCTTCTCACGACTAATTTGCCATCGATTTGAGCTGCAGAACGCTAGCCAAATACTTGTTGTTTTGAAAATTTGAAGCCACAATTATTGATCAAGCCTGAAGCCTAAAACCTGGCATTTATCCAAGAAAGCTGAGAGTTTGTCCCATTTTGCTTGTTTATCTTGATTTCATCTGTTTTTTGTTGGTAATTTCAAGTTTCCTTTATTACGTCTGCTAACTCATCATTAGTAGGTTCTGCTCTCTTGGTTTTGGCTACATGATTGTCAGTTATATACCGACAAACACCGACATGCGTTATTTTTTATCTCTGTAGTAGACTGTTCATGATGAGATAAAACTCTAATTTTTCTGATGTTCTCAGGAAATAAATATTCTGTCCGGTCTTGCGAATTTAAAGGTAATCAACGTGACCTTAGCATTGATTGTATTGAATTACTTTTAACACAATTATTCTTGCCTCAAACATTTTAATAAGTTTTCTTTTATCTTGAAACTATTACGATTTCTTTAAGTATATCGTATCATGATCATACATGTTGATAAATCATCGGGTTTCTTTGGTTACTGTTAAGTACAATCGTGTACTGTTCACGCCCCGATCCATTTACTCGCCACGTTATAATTTTCAGCATCTGTTAAAGATCAATTTGAATTTACTACTTTTACTGGATTAATTCAATTATATCCCTGATTTTTAGATTATTACACATTCCGACTTATCATTTAACTGTACGTGATAGGAAGCTGACCATTTCGATTAAACTTTGCTGGAATGGTTAAATAATAATAATACCGCTATTTGAAGGTTTCACAAGTTAATACCTTATTCATACCGACGACTTTATTAAAATAACGACTTTATTTTCTACAGAAAAGTGGACTGTATAATATATAATATAATAATATATAGTATATACAGTCCACTTTTCTGTATATATATAATATGTATATATATATATATATATATATATAAAATATAAAATATAATATATTTCCATGCCTCTCCACATAAAGGGTCGTCCCATAAAAGGTGGTAATGCAGTACAGTGTATATTGTATAGAATTTGTTACTCAGATATGGCTCCTGGGTTAACTTTTGAGCCTTCTCCTTCGGCTTGGTCTAGAAAATCCGACAAAACCATATTTAGTCGGTGGATGATGTTTAATATTCTGTTGTTTTCACTGATGGATCATTGTTTAGTTGGTTTTATATCTTCTACTTTTATATGTCTTTAGTCTCCACCGGCGGCCACATGTTTAACATCGAGGCTTTGTTCTTCGTAATTTTCTGCTTTTTCAATTTTACTTTTGTAATTGTCGTTTAAAAGTTGTTTCTTTTCATTATTTAACCATATTCTGTCAGACAAGCAGACTCAGCTGCTTTTACGCTTATTTTCCATTGCGCAAGAACTCACTCAATCACTCACTCAATCACTCACTCACTCAATCACTCACTCAATCACTCAATCACTCACCCCATTACTCACCCCATTACTCACTCAATCACTCACTTACTCAATCACTCACTCACTCAATCACTCACTCACTCACTCACTCACTCAATCACTCACTCAATCACTCACTCACTCCATCACTCACTCACTCACTCACTCACTCACTCACTCACTCACTCACTCACTCACTCACTCACTCACTCACTCACTCACTCACTCACTCACTCACTCACTCACTCACTCACTCAATCACTTACTCACTCACTCACTCACTCACTCACTCACTCACTCAATCAATCACTCACTCACTCACTCACTCACTCACTCACTCACTCAGGAATGTAGCCAGGGGCACACCGCTCAATGTACTTTTGAACCCTAAAAATTGCAGAACCCTGATTATAAATATTATAAGCGTCAATTCCGTCTTCTTTCCAAAAATACTCTGCCCCTAGCCTGGCTTGCAAGTTGAAAATTCGCCGGCTACAGTCCCGCTGAAACAACCCCTTAAGCTAACTATCTGTTTATTTCCGCTATTAAAAATGTCCTCATAAAAGACTGCAGTATCTCAACCACCAGCCTCTTCATATACTCCGTTAAGTAAGAAAGTATCCAGTAAGTTCGAGCACATTCTGGCTGCCGTGTCTCCTTAACGGGCTTCTGCATCGTACTGTGAATTATTGTCTGGTCCGACTCCCCGACCTAAGTAACATGACATGGTTGCAGCCACTTCAGCCTCTTCCAACAATTTCAACTCGTCCACATCATACACGCTGGAGTAGGTCAGTGTAGTTTCCATTGCCTTCCGGGCCGGTGTGCGCGGAACTTAATTATTTGAGCCTTCAAATCTAGACGTTTGGTTGAATAGAGTTAGACTGTTTGACAAGTTTGTTTGTTACAGATCATATTGTATCGTTGTAGCGCTCGTCAAATTGTTCAGCCGTATCTTGTATGGTAAATTTATTTGAGAATTTGTTTCATGTTGAGCGAAATATGGCCAACTGGAATGAGTTCTTAAAAAGTCGTGACCCTCATTATTGCATACCGCATTTATGTTGTGTAATATATTTAAAGTCTACGGTTTGAATTTTTGGCCCTCGAAAATACCAATTTTCTAGCATAAACGTTTTTATTTCTGTATGTGAAATTATTCAAAAATCCCATTTCTAAATTTCATTAAATACGTGGCCATTGCTATGCTTTGCCGGCGACCGATTGAATTATTCGCCAAAGTGTGAAGTAAAATAATGACATCTTATCATCAACTTCTTGTGTAATGTAATCATTGGTAAATGGCAATTTTACAAAAATCTCATTACACCAACATTTTCTTTATTAATAATTCATCCACCCGTAAAATGCCGAATGACTTATTAAAACTAATATTAAAACCCGCCGGTTTTTTTAAATACCCTCACCACAGTTCCAGGTCCTCTCATTTAAATTTATTTTCAAACTTTTGTAATTTCAGCTTTAGTTCAAATTCGATTTTGTGGAATAACCTGAAAGTATTTTCTAGGCTCTTACAAGGATCAAATATATAAAGTTTATATTGCTCGAGCAACATGAATTCTTGAGTTCTTGATCGCCCTGTGGCTCAGACTTGTAATTATAGCGTTTCGTTTTAATGGATTTAAAAACACCTTCACGTCCCTGCCTCCCCACTATTTCATTATTTTCTGATTGAAAACATTATTTTGTTCCTTTGAAGTGTTAGTTATTA